ATATATATATATATATATATATATATACACTGTATATATAAATACTTTTCATGCAGGCGTTTCCACTGATACAAGAATATGGTAATTATAAATACAGATTTAATATCTTGTGTTACACCTAGTCTTTCAGATGATCTCATGCATGTTCAATTCAACAAGATCTAACCAGCGTTTCACTAATTTTATAGTGAAAATAAAGTATACACAGACCACACACACAAAGGCAAGCTCCCTCTGTGTCGTCCTCTAAGGACTATGTCTCAGCAGCTGATCGGTACAAAAAATGGACCCTTTGTCACCTAATTACCAATGTGTTATTAGTGCTTTAATGAAATGCCTGCAGGAAGCAGCACTGCCTTGTCGTCATCAAACTATAGGACAAGCAGGAGGAGTGGATTTGGCAAATAACATCGGGAGACACGCAGAGAAGGAAAGGCAGGGGGAAGAAAAAGAAAAACTCAAAAAGTGTGGAGCAGCTGAACTAATTTTAAATTGGTATAATTTGTCAAAGTTCTTACTTTTCCCTTTATTTCTAAAACACAATTATTTAAAAACAAATAGAAATGTGATTTCTGATTATTTAATGCTAGGCCAAATCTTGAACAAAATGCCAAAATGAGCAAAAACAGCCAAATGTATCTAAATTCCTTAAGGTCGTCTCTACAAAGCAACAAACCTTTTCTTCACCGTGACAGCAACCAGTGATGGGACAGTGCAATACGCAAATGCCGCAGCTGTGTCCACTGTGTCTGCGGTTTGTTTGTGTAGCGGAAACACTGTGGCGATGAACCAAGAACAAGCAGGATCAGGGCGGAAGGAAGGGACTTAGATTGAGGCTCAGTGGGAGGAAACGAAAAAGACAAGAAAGGAGAGATGGCAAAGTAATCCCCAGCAGACAAATTCTTGTGCCAGATCCCACTGTGGTGAGCAGCAAAAAGGCTGGGAATGAAGAAGGAACAAAAGAACAGTACAGTGTGTTGCCTGGATAAGACATCTTCACATGGGTGGGTTATGACATCAGCTCCCTGCAAACCTTTAGTTATTCCCATCACTTACATAAGGTCAAGGTCTTGATGAGGAACACTGTGGCTGCAACTAGATATGATTTTAAGACCTCCCACATACTGTGTTCAAGTCTGTTTGTCTGCATGTGTGTGTAGATTGTGAGTTTCATGCATGCCTGTGTGTCCCCCCACTGATTACAACAGTCATGCCTGGTTTGACTGACCACACCTGAGGCAATAAGGAGATGATCCTTCCCAGGCCCACACAAAGCAAGCGTGAAGGGGAAGAGAGCCAAGAAAAGAAGAGGAGGTCAAATCGAGAGTCATAAAAAGAAGAAGAGATGAGAGGCGAGTCAAAGAGAAAAAGGAGTGAATAAAAAAAAGGGGCTGAGTCATTGGGAGACAAAAAAAAAGCCAAGGGAAGACAATAATCTTGACGGTGACACTTGTGACAACATTGATTTTCAAGTAAGAACATAATAAATTAATGTACTTAAATATTATATTAAATATCTGTGATAGACTTTGACCACAATTCCAAATTGTTCTAGAAGCAGCTCGGGGCGGCTGCATGTTGGAGTAGCTCTGTTACATTCATTTTGAGTTATTGCTTTTGAAAACTTTAACTCCTCAATTTTCTGGATGTAAATTGCTTTTTTCCAGACGGTTGTTTCCTCTGATATCGGATGCTGTGCAGCTGGAAGGATTTTTACTGAAACCTTTTTCATTTTGGGGCATTTGTTATGATGCGTAACCATGGCATCAAGGTGTTTTCAACAACCAGGAGCAGCTGATTAACACCTTAAAAGCTCAAATACATCAACTACAGCCCCAAATCCCAAATGAGTTGAAAAGGAGGCGCTGTGAACCATTTACCATCAACCTGGTGGCGGTGCTCAAGTAACTGACCGCCAAAACCCTGGGGCTGGTGGAAAACTCGGCTCGTGACAATGGGAGGACCGGGATCATCTCCCGGCACCTTCAGCTGTCTGTCCGTGGCAACGAGGAGCTCGGCAGAATGCTGGGAGGAGTGACCATTGCTCAGGCATTCGGGCAGACCTGCTGCCCAGGAGGATTGAGAGGCCTGCCGGATCTGACAGCAAGCTGGATCTGGGGTGCGGATCGATATCTGTGGCCAGATTTTTTGGATTTGCTGCAGGAGATCCTTCCTGCCCACAGCTATCAGCATCTATAACTCTTAACAGGAACCAGGATAATGAGCTATGACAACACTTCATTTCCCTCTGGGATTAATAAAGAATTTTTGAATTGAATTGAATTGAAATAAGTTCAAACTCATTAGAACAAATCCAACAAAGTTAAGTCAGGTCCTCTGGACAGTTTATTTGCGTTGAGGTGTTTTGTCCTTCATCCAAAGGACTTCATCAGTTTGAGAAGCCACAACAAACTCAGTCCCACAGGCAGCACACTCACATAGTGGACCAACCAGTTTGATGGTGATAAGATGGTTTCTGGAGTCTGCCTTCTGCCCTGTTGACTCCTCTGAGGTAGCCATGGCCAAAGTGGTTCAAAACATAAAGGTTCACGCTCAGTAATCCAGGTAGAAAAATCCAACACATTTAATTTGGGTCCTCTGGACGGTTTCTTTGTGCTGAAACGTTTCAACGATGTATGGAA